ATCAATAATATTAACAATTATTATTATAATATAAAATTTTATAAACCTTAAAATAACTCTTGACAACACAACTCTTGTGACGTCAAAAACTCTAATGCAACTCATTCATACTATCAAAATTGTAACGATTAATTATTCAAATTGATCAATCAAAATGTCGTTGTTTCACCATACAAATGTCGGATTCTGAAGCAAAAGAACATTGACAAATCACATGAAATACAATCATCACAGAAATCGAATCGATAGAATAAAAGGCATATCAAATATACCGTCGTTGCATCCGAGTTATTCATATCTTATATGAAATTCATTAATCACTTTTGTGTAACTTATGAATGATCGATGTAACGCTACTTCACCATACAAAAGTCGGAGTCCGAAGAATAGTCAAAATCGAATCATCCAAATCACACACAACATGATGTCAAAAATTAATTTTCTTTATTATTTAATTTATTTTGTGTTTTAATCGAATTAAATCAGAAAGTACAAAAAATAAATATCTACCAGATTCATGGTTTTGTAAGTGGCTCTAATACCACTGAAGGAAAATCGTGATCCAAAACGCAGCGGAAAATTAAAATTTTTCTTTTAGTGATCCTTACGAATGAGCATGATCAGTGATAGAAACGGTTACCTCTTGTGGTGATTAATAATTTTGATATAGATGCAGATGAATGATTACGAGCGTTGAATGAAGAACAATGCCTCTACTCAGCCCACATGAACAGAGTGCCTTCAATCTCAGTGCTAACTGCTACGAATGAAGACTTTGAGTGAGAGAGAAAGAGATAAAAACAATCAGGGTTTCACCAACTAAATTTCATCAAGTTCTAAAATTTCTACACAATGGTTGTATTTATAGAACCACTTGTGTGGGCTGCAAGCTAAAAAGCCCAACTTAAGTGCACCATATAATAATAATAATAATAATAATAATAATAATAATAATAATAATAATAATAATAATAATAATAATAATAATAATAATAATAATAATAATAATAATAATAATAATAATAATAATAATAATAATAATAATATAATAACTATTATAATAAAAAATATATTTTATTATTATTATATTTAATAACTATTATAATAATAATAATAATAACTCTTATTATTATATTATACAATGTTTCATATTTCACTTAAGTACATCGTACCTTATGGTGTTCTATAATTCTCTCAAGTACACTGTACCTTACAGCGTTTCTTATTTATTTTATCTTTCATCAATCTGTCATTGGTGTGTGACCTTATAGGTTCTCGTGATGTTGACAATTATATTAAATCACATATATTTAATATAATAAACAGTTAGCGGTATCTAGCAACACATCACTACTACCCAAGTCACAAAAATATCATGTGGTCTGACAAAACCTTTTGTAATAGTACTTGTGTGTAAAATTATCATTTTACCTTTATGTCTATATTGAACAAAGGCATATATCGTGTCATTCTTGTCCAGTTCAATATTGGATCCTTAGACATTTATCTTATTATGCAGAATAGGCAAATTCTATCTAGATCACTCATGTCCCTCAACATGCTTTGTGGAGTACCCGTAAACTGTCTTTATGGTCATCCAGTTACAAACAATGTTAGATTAGTAATAAAGTATTTGAGTCTACATCTAGGGTCCATAGTGGTTTCAGGTCTAAGGGTATACCACCACTATCACCTCGAGAGTAACTTATAACACTTTGCATAACATTCTATGTAGTACTCTCATAGCGGGTCAATCCAATATAAATATTACTCCTAACATTCTTACCTACATTAAGAATTGGTGACTCCTTATCCATAATCCATGAGATGTGATCATCAGTCTATCTACATAATAGTCTTAATGCTTTAAGGTTATTCCACTTTACAGTAAAGCTCAACTACAGATACTTTAAGAGTAGTGTCTTTCTGTTTAATGAGATCTCATGATTAACCCACACTTAATATTTCATTAAACAAATTAGCTATTCTAGGGACTTTATTATTCTGGAAAAACAACCATAATAAAGAAATGTCTTTTATTAATAATAAGTAATGTTATACAATTACAAAAAGTATTGGCCTCGAGGGCTTACACCAACAACACATGATACAATCATTTAGATTTTGAGGTGGGGTTGTGCACACTGGGAAAAAGGTTTCCGAAAAACCATATTGAGTAAGATCAACACACGCTCTATCATACGCACATGTTATTAGGTGACCCATTTCAGGGAAGCACATCCAATTTGCCTCCGATACCAGACCGCTTAAGCAAGGAACAAGAGACTCATAAACTGTATCAATTTTTTCTTTCTTTCTGTACAACTGTATGTATAATTCTTTTTGCTTCTTCAACTCTTGGATAAGTTGATGTCGGAAAAGTGTATGACTATCTTATCCTTTAATGAGTAAACCCAAAACAGATCAGTAACCGCAATAACCGTCCCCATAACATTGACGATCTACTTGATATATTTGTGTATAAAAATTGGCATCTCGTTGATGAATGGAATCTTCGATGGAGGCGGAATCGGAGGTGGTTTGCTAATGCGAGCTCCTTTGGTAGTACTTTTTTGAGATTTTGGAGTCGGTAAGTCGGGAAAAACTTTGTCAACATGTTTAAAATATGAAAGAGATTGTGTAGTTGAATTGTCATTCAATGTAGGCTTCATGTCTGTGGTTTTAATATGGGAAATCTTCCTCAAATATTCTTTAATGTGGAGTTTCATATTGTCATCGTCTTTCAAAAATCACTCTTGTATCGCTTCCCATTCGGTTAAAATAGAGATATTCGATTTACAGTCATCCTTGCATCCATCATCATCAAACCTAAGTCTCTTTCAATGAGTTCAAACCCCGTTTATTTTTATTGGGTCACCAAGTTTCACCTTTTTAGCAATAACGCAAGCACATGGGAGACCATATGTTTTCACTATTATGCATCCACACTTTGCGCTATCGGAACCTATATTATCAACTCGTTTAGCCTTGTGAAAAATATAGTTCGAACCCGCCCAAGAAATTTTACCAACCAACTGAGAATATAGAATATTGTCTTTAAATATGTGTTCCAAAACTATGATGCTCCGACTAAAGGATGTTTGTATCTCATTATGTTGGTTTGGAATCATGTGGTTCACAAAGTCTTAGTCTCTACACAAATCACCCTTACTATTTCTCAGCCAAATTTTTAAAGTAGCATGGACATACTCAACTCTGTAGTTGTTGTATTTTCAAGGTGTCTAACATTATCAGTCCATGTAAAAAAAAATTCCTTCACCTGGTCATGAATTGTGCTTTCAACATATTTCAACAAATTTGGACACTTTTCACACACTTTGCTGAAATGAATAACTGAATCGACATATAGTTTTTTGTGGAAGAATTTATTATACAATTCCATGCATCCATTATTTTTTCCACAACCACATCTGTCTTCACCATTTTCCCATCTTCGGACTCTATTTGTTTCATACCTACTGCAGGTTTAATCCGACTTCTCACATTATTTATTATGTGATACCTACAAAGTAATGCATAGGAAAAAAGAAATATTTTTGCAACTGAATTCATCAATGCGGTATCTCAGGTAGTAACAATCATTTTAGGCATCTCATCTTGGACCTTCAACAGTGTCTAGCACACCTCTAAGGCCCAACAGAATATGTCTTCTCAGTTGAGGTAACACTAACCATCTCCAACAATAGAAGTATATACTTATTGGTCTTGTAGGTTGAATTAAGTATGAGTACCGTAGGAAATGTGTTGCATGCTAAAATGCCTCCATATGAATCCAGTGAAGCATTTGATCACGAGATTCAAACTCTTACTTATTTTTAAATTGGTTGTCAACATCTATCGCCTTCACAACAACAACTTGGACATTCAGAGGAACAACAACACCTTTGACATTCGGAGAAATAATAACACCTTTTGGGAAAACGTCGGGGTGCACCATATACATAAGCATTACTTCTGCAGAATGACCTCAAAAATGAACACAAACAACTTCCGAAAATCCAACTCTGGACAAGTTCATACACGTTCCGGAGATACATTTCCTGACAACGTAATTTTTTTAATGAATGATTAATATGAGCAATGCAGATGAAAATGAAGAATCTTTACCTGAAATTCTATCTTCTTTTTCTCCCTATGATGTGATGGACCAAAAGAACGGAGATTTGGAGTGAAAAAATGGATTGAGAATGAAAGATTTTTTTTTGGTGAAGGGTTTGGTTGAAATACAACAATGGCAACAATGACTGTGTGATCATGCAACTGTTTCTTTTATCAAATTATTTCAGAGATACATCTTCGGAAGTATCTGATATGCAAATGTAACAAAAAATTTTATAATATCATCTATAATTTCGGAGACGCATCTCTGGAATTTCTACTAAACTGGTAATTAATTAAGGTTTTTCTAAAAATGTTCCGAAAATGCATCTCTAGAATAAAAATAGTCTAACATATATGGCGCCTCTCAAAATGACTTAAGTGTACAATAGATTGATTCGGAAATGCATCTTCGAAAATAATAAACATTTATAAAAATTCACGTGGTCTATTAAAAAATTCTCTAAAAAATCTCTAATATTAATGAGTCATTAACTAAAAACCTAAATATTAATAAGCCCAATAATAATACAAATAAAAATATAACTAAAATAAATTTTAAATAAGCTTAATAATTAAATATAAATTCTATATCTATCAGTTGACTTTGACTATTTTCTTATGGTGAGATATAAATAAGTGACTACGTGGCAGCTTCATTTCCGTTTAATTTTAACTTTTTCTTTTTTTGAAAAAATTTTCCACCACATAATACAAATTTATGTGCTTTCTAAGTTCTATCATCATATCTATACACAACATGTGACTCAGAAACAACAAACCTAGCAATGCCAAGTTTTAGTGACACCAAACTATCCAAACCAATTCCTCACAAAAACCAAAACCTACTAACTGAATTACACAGGGTGTTGTAATTTGTGATGAAGGAACAAAATCTCAAAATTCTCATTGCAACAACACTGAGAGTGTTTACAATGCTGTCATTATTCTGTTGCACAAACGTTGCAATTACCACAACCAACAACCTCAATCCACTGATCCTAATCCCAGGTAATGGAGGAAACCAACTAGAAGCAAAACTAACCACACAATACAAACCTTCTAGCTTAATCTGTGATCCATGGTACCCTCCTTTCAAGAAGAAAAATGGATGGTTTAGATTATGGTTTGATACAACCGTTTTACTTGCTCCTTTCACAAAGTGTTTTGCTTCTCGCATGACTCTTTACTATGACAAACAACTTGATGATTTCTTTAATGCCCCTGGAGTACTCACACGTGTCCCTCGCTTTGGTTCTACCTATTCTCTTCTGTATCTCGATCCTAGTCTCAAGTATGTTTCTTTTCATAATCATGTTTTTAAAACTTATCTATGTTTCATGCACTTTGTTTTAGGATTTTGTTTATGGGACAAGACAGGTCCTAGAATGTTTCAAGGATCTAACAATAATTTCTGTTACATTATTGTTATTTTTTATGTATAGGGTTGTGACAGATTACATGGCACCTTTAGTTGAATCATTAGAGCAACTTGGTTACATAGATGGTGAAAATCTGTTTGGAGCTCCTTATGATTTTCGATATGGTTTAGCAGCGCCGGGTCATCCATCTCGAGTAGGTTCGAAATTCTTAAACGATTTAAAGAATTTGATAGAAGAAGCAAGCAATTCCAATGGAGGAAAACCAGTGATACTTGTTTCACATAGCTTAGGAGGTTTATATGTTCTTGAACTCCTTAATCGGAACCCGTCTTCTTGGCGAAAGAAATTTGTTAAACATTTTATAGCTCTTTCTGCTCCATGGGGTGGAACTGTTGATGAAATGTTTACTTTTGCATCGGGGAATTCTTTGGGGGTGCCATTAGTAAACCCTTTGATAGTGAGAAATGAACAGAGAAGTTCTGAGAGTAATCTATGGCTTTTGCCTAATCCTATGATGTTTGATGGTGAAAAACCATTAGTTACTACTCCGAATAGAAGCTATTCAGCTCATGATATGGTTGATTTTCTCAAAGATATTGGTTATCCTGAAGGAGTTTATCCTTATGAAACTCGAATTTTGCCGCTGATAGCGAAGATAGGAGCACCAGAAGTGGATGTAACTTGTATTGTTGGGGAAGGTGTGAGGACTCCTGAGGAATTGTTTTATAGGAATGGTGATTTTGATGAACCGCCGGAGTTTTTGTATGGTGATGGCGATGGAACTGTGAATATGGTGAGCTTATTGGCACTTGAAAAGTTATGGAAAGATGAGAAGAATCAGTATTTGAAAGTGATTAAGATTGAAGGGGTGTCTCATACTTCAATATTGAAAGATAAAGTTGCACTTGATGAAATAATTGGTGAGATTAGTAGAATTAATTCTAATGTTCAAATCAGTGGAAGTAACGTTTCTTTTGCTATTTCTGATGCGAAATGATTGCAGACATGTGTATACAGTATAGTACCAATGTGCAAATTAAATTTTCGGTGGAGTTTTGAAATTTGTGATGGAATTTACTTATTGATTGCTTTGATGCGAATATATGAAGAAACATTTTAACCATTGTGATGTTTTGAATACTGTATTAAGTTTGAACGGTTGATCAACATTAACGATGACTGAGTTTTTGAAAATGCGCATTCTTGAATTTTGATTACTATAGTAATATCTTGATTTCCCAATATTCATATATGAGATGAGTAAGAATGTCAATTTTAGAGTGATGGAAAACAAGATTAATAAGGATTGAGCAAAAAGGGTAAAATAATTGAAAAAATATCAAAATCACTGACCAACCAAAAGAGAGGAACTCGTACATTTGAAATGAGTAACAATGAAAAATTAATTAAAATCAAACAACAGAATAACTTTTATTTTGAACATTTGTACATATATTACTCTTCTTTCTTAAGCTAGATTCGAAATGCATGCTATCTTTAGAGAAGATCTCAGTAAAAGAACAAATTAATAATGTGTGTTTCTTCTTATCAGTTGTGGTATACTGTATAAGATGTTAATATGACATTAGAGATGTTAATATGACATAAAAATGGGGAAGAAAAAGTTTTCATCATGGAGATTAGTATATTTTAGAAGCAGGAGTTAAAATGGTGTTTAAGAAGTGTGAAGTGTTGTGTCCGGAGAGAGAAAGAAGAGGGAGGAAAGTAATGGCAAGTGAGAGAGTGAAGAAAATGAATAGAGTATATGAATAAAAAAGTAAACATCAATCATAAAACACAACTAAACATCATCATGATCTTAAAAGAAATTAGGTTTAATTGCAACTTTGATCCATCTATTTTTGTGTTTTTTTGGGTTTTGATCCCCCATTTTAAAAACCACCATTTAAGTCTCATTTTAAGTTTTGAGTTTGATATTAGTCCCCTTACCATTTTAAGTCATGTTTTTAATGATGTGGCGCGTTGAACGAAGATGTGGCATTTCCATGTCATTTAAAATGGTCTTATTCACCAAATATCATTTGCATGTCATTTATTTTTTTGATTTCATTTTTCAAGAAATTAAGTTCAATTTTATAAAACTCCAGCTCACGAAGAACAACCCATTTCTGTAGCCATTTCTTCAAACCCAGTTCAGGAATGAAGATTCTTACTCTTCCTCTTTCACGCACGAAGACGAACCGTAATTAAAGATTTTGTAGTTGTCGTTCCAAATCAAACCACAAATCAACTCCCGTTGTCGCTGTAGTAGCTAGCTCATCTCTGAAATGGCAAACCGAAGTTACGTGTCGAGGTATGTTTCGTAACTCAAGTCTGAATTCAAAAACCCTAAACACGCAAATGTCATTTGTGTTATGTCATAGCATATGATTTGTTTATACCATGTAGTCTTAATTTGATGTGGTCCCGTTTTTATCTATGTTTTAATTTGTTTATGTTTTGTTGTAGGCCCTCTGATACTCAAGTTGTCAGATTTAGAGTACACCATAGGGGACATTTAGTTCAGAATCCAGTTCTGTTGTATGTTGGTGCGCTTGTAACTGAAATGAATTGGGATTGGGGTGTGGACTTGATGTCCTACATGCAAATTGAAGATTTGATCAAAAGTGAGGGGTATCGTAAAATAAAGTGTTTATGGTATTGGAATCCAAAATTTTCCTTTTCTCGTGGACTTCGGCCTCTAAACAATGATAATGATGTTTTAAGGTTAATGGAGGATGTTAGAGGATTTAAGGTAGTTGATATTTATGTTGAACACAAAATTGAAGAAATAAGTATTGAGGATGTTATTTTTGAGGAGGATAATGGTGAAAAAGTCAATGGTGAAGGAGCAAACGGTGAAGTTAATGTTGAGGGAGCAAATGATGAAGTTAATGTTGAGGGAGCAAACGATGAAGTTTATGTCGAGGGAGCAAACGATGAAGTTAATGTTGAGGGAGAAAACGATAAAGTTAATATTGAGGGAGCAAACGATGAAGTTAATGTTGAGGGAGCAAACGATGAAGTTACTGTTGAGGGAGCAGATGAAGAGGTTAGTGTTGATGGAGTAGATGAAAAGGTTAGTGTTGATGGAGTAGATGAAGAGGTTAATGTTGGTAGAGTAGATGAAGAGGTTAGCGTTAATGTTGATGACGTAGATGAAGAGAGTGAAACAGATCCAAATTATAGCATGGGCAGTGAGGATGACGAGGAAGAGGATGAAGATTTGGAAGATGAAATTGATGAGATGAATTTAGGTGCTGATGTTGGTATTAATTAGAAGATCGTTTTACCTAATGTTACAGCAGAAAAACCTTCAAAGTTGGATGGTAATTCCGATAATGGTAGTGATTCAGATGTGCTTCAAACTCCACCCGGTAGTGATGCTGAATGTGATATGGCAAAGTTTCTAATCTTTAGGGAAACCAGAAAACTTGAAGTAGGGATGATGTTCAAGGATAAACCACAAATCAAAGATGTCATAAAGGAGTATGCAATGGAGAATAAGAAGAATCTTGTATTCAAGAAAGATGACAAGAAGAGAATGGTTGTCAAGTGTTTAGATGGTTGTCCATTTTATATTAGGTTTAGCATGAGGACTACCAACCAATATTGGCAACTTGTTAGCTTAACTGATCGTCATGGTTGTCATAGGACAGCCAAAAATAGACAAGCAAAAACGGATTGGTTGGGTCGCCAATTTGTGTGCACTATAAGACACACTCCTAAAATAAAAACCAAATAGTTGATTACATAAGCTATTAAGAAGTGGGGGTGAAGTTGTCAAAGGATCAAGCTTATAGAGCCAAGAAAATGGCAATGGAATTGATTCAAGGTGCTGGTCGTGAGCAATTCACACATCTTAGAAGCTATGGTGAGGAGTTGTTAAAGTCAAATCCAAACTCCACTGTTAAAATTAAGTGTGCTAATTCAGATGGTGGTCCTAACTTTGAAATAATGTATGTATACTTAGAAGCTTGTAAGGCAACGTTTGCAACGACTTGTAGGCCTCTAATAGGACTGGATGCTTGTTTTCTTAAAGGGGACTTTGGAGGTCAGTTAATAGGTGTTATTGGTAAGGATGGAAATAATAAGATTTATCCAATCGCTTATGTCGTCGTGGAAGATGAAACAAAGACTCTTGGCAATGGCTCCTTAATTTGTTACTAGAAGACTTGCAATCTATTCAAGACAATAAATATGGATTTATATCAGATCAACAGAAGGTTAGTTTTACAGTGCTATTATTTGTTATATGTGTTATGTGTTGATATGTTACAATATTGTTTACATGCTGCTATATGCTGATACGTGTTATGGATTTACAATGTTATTTACATGTGTGTTATGGATTTATAGTGTTATTTACATGCTGCTATATGGTGATATGTGTTATAGATTTACAATGTTATTTACAGTGTTGCTATGGATTTACAATGTTATTTACATGTTGATATGTGTTATGGATTTACAATGTTATTTACAGTGATGTTATATGTTATGGATTTACAATTTTATTTACATGTGTGTTATGGATTTACAATGTTATTTATAGTTCTGCTATGTGTTATAGATTTACAATGTTATTTACAAGTGTGTTATGAATTTATAATGTTATTTACATTGTTGTTATGGATTGTATGTTCATGGATTGGTACCGACTATTCTTGAGACAAGCCAACATGTTGGACACAGACTATGTGTTAAACACTTGTATGGGAATTGGAGAAAGAAATATCATGGGATATTCATGAAGGAGGCTTTATGGCGGGCTTCTAGAGCCACAACAATACCTGCATGGGAAAGAGCAATGAATCATATGAAAGAGCTCAATGTCAATGCTTGGAAAGACATGATGGATGTCCCAGCTGCATGTTGGACTCTGTCTCATTTCAAAACAGACACACAATGTGATTTGCAAGTCAATAATATGTATGAGGCTTTTAATCGCGTAATCTTGGAGTATAGAGATAAGCCAATCATTTCACTACTTGAAGGAATCAAACATTACATAACAGTGAGAATCTCTGCTAAAAAGGAGAAATTAAGTAGGTACACAGGTGTTACAAGTCCGAACATTAAAAAAGTCTTGGAAAAAACAAAGAGGGCAGCAAAAGGATGGGTTTCAACATGGCATGCAGATGATGACTTTTCTATATCCAGAGTTTCAAACGGTGTTGAGACATATGCTGTGAACTTGCTTCAACAGAAATGTGGTTGTAGGAAGTGGGATTTAAGTGGAATACCATGTTGTCATGCTATTGCATGCATATGGTATAACAAGAAGGAGCCCGAAGAGTAGGTTTCATCATTCTATAGGTATCACCTACTCATATATTATGTTCACTTACATTCATCTTTTTTGAACACTTACTAAAATCGTTGTGTCATTTTGTATAGGAAGTCTATTATTCTGGCTACTTATAGCCATATTATTATGCCAACCAATGGCCCACAACTATGGCCTGTTAATGTTGCTAACCCAATCAACCCTCCAGTCATGCGAAGATCTATCGGTCGTCCTAAGAAGAATCGTGACAAGGCGAATGATGAATCGAGGATAAGAAACAGACTGCCTAGAACTCTTCAAACTGTCAAGTGCAAGAAATGTGGGATTTTTGGCCATCACAAGCGAACATGTAAAGGGAAGCGAGATGCAGAGAGAGCGATTCCTATAGGTGGCAACAAAAAACCTTAAAAAAATGGTGACAAGTCGGGCAAGGAAGTGGGACAAACTCTTATAGACGGGGGACAAACTGTTATAGACAGAGGGTCACAAGCACCACCACCAACCCAATAGTTCTATGTTTTACTTTACTTTTTGTTATGTTAATGAAGTGTGTAATGGTTGTTTTGTGATGCTGCTATGTAATGACCAAAACACTCAAGGTCTGCTTGTTTTGTGATGCTACTATAGCATATGTTATGACCAAAAAACTCAAGGTCTTTTTGTTAAAATATGTTGTCTTTAATGTTGGCTGCTATGTAAAGTTACCT